GAGTCCAACCAAAAAAACCAAACCCGTTGCCCTTGAGTCCACTCTGACTTATAGCAACCCTATAGGACAGAGTAGAACTGCCCCATAGGGTTTCCAGGGAAGGCTGGTGGATTCCAACTGCCAACCTTTCAATTTGCAGCCCAGCTCTTAACCACAGCGCCACCAGGGCTCCTTAAGGAGTCCATCCTCGTAGAATTTTGCAGATGAGAAAATGAGGTTCCAAGATGAAATAACTCATCCATGGACTCACATCTGATTTGGTCAGAGCTGAAATTAACAGCAGGTCTAATTTTCTGTGTTCTCTCCACTCTACTATGGTGTTTGTCTTGTTGTACAGTTACTTAACATAAATATTTCCATTGTAGATCCTTTAAATATGAATGACTTAATTGTTTTAAATGACAGAATGGATACTTTTAGTGAGCTTTTGGGAGATGTTTGGGTGACAGCTTAACTCTTGTTAATGGGTTTATAAAAGACTATGGATTTCCAAAACTTCAGTTCTGTATAACTGAAAATGTTGTTTTGTAACTAACAATTATTTTAGAACTTGGGGAAAAAAAAAAAAAGCTTTCCAAAGCCCCAGACTGAAATCATAGATTTTCACACAGCATGTTTTATAAAATGTGATTTTGATGCATTGTTCATTTTTAATCTCTTATTCATTCTTTCACAGATTCCATATGGAAATTCTCCAGAGCTGGTTTTTAATACAGTGCATGTCAAAGATTCTGGCTTTTATGTCTGTCGAGTTAATAATAATTGCACCTTTGAATTCAGCCAGTGGTCACAGCTGGATGTCTGTGATGTCACAGAAAACTCTCGGAGTAAGTGATAGAATAAATTGAATGTTGGGATGGAGATTGCCTTATTTTATTAACATTTTTGCTTTGTCAAATTTTTCAAAAATAGTGTCAGAGGCAGTACAAAAAGCTCACATATGTGCTTCACTCTATATATACTCTCACTAAATAGAACATTTTGTCCTGTTTGTTTTTATTCTCTTTTTTCAGGAACATATATGTACATATGCAGATGCCTTAGGATGACATAGAACCCTTCTCAGTCTAGTCCCTGCTAGTGGCTTCAAACTTACTTTCTTCCATGGCCCCTTCGCCTGCCCTCACACACACCTGATCTGCACTTAAGCTTAGTTTCTACTTATTAATTTTCCTTTTCCCAGATAATATCTTGCCTTATCACAGTTCTGTGTCTTTGCATCACTTCATCTGGACCGTCTCTTGTTCTTCTATTAATTGTTTTCCTCTCTTGATGATGGGTCGCATTTTCTTCTTCAAAAGTCTTGTTATTTTTTATTACATGACTGACATTATATATAAAGGAAGAATAGAGACTGAAATAAATATATTTATGCACAGGAATAGGCATGTCCTCCTGTTCCGTCAGGCTACTGGAATGGGGATATGAGTCAATCTGATTTGTATTTGAGCTAGAACTGGGCTTTAGTTTTGTTCAGTTTACCAGTGACTAACTTGAAGGCAGAATAAGAATCTTTCCTCTTGCAGGATTTGAGTACCAGAAAGACGCCAGACATCTCTCTATTTTATAGCCCTAGGCCATGTTTCCAAATGAGGAGGTCTCACTCAGCTTACGGTGTGGCCACTAGCCTTTGGAGTCGTTGAGGATTTCTCTTTGTTCTCCAACCCTGCCCTTGGTTTTTCTGTGTCTCGGGGGATCTCCTGCCTAGCTGCCCTGCCCGCAGCCATCCTTGGAAGACCATGGCATTGTGTTCACTAAGGTCCTAGTGTGCCTCAGAGGGGTTTCTCTCAGTCCTGTCCTGCCCTCAGCTTTCAACAGGCCCTGTGCACGTGCACCTCTTAGGGTAGTCTTTTCTGCTCTCCTCCCCTCACCCCGACCTCCTTCAAGAGCACTGAGTGAGGGCCCTTAGGAAGGAATTGGTGAGCTGGTGCAGCATCTCTTTGTGGCTGGGACTCCTGCCAGTCATCCAGTTTGCCTCAGACTTTCCCAGCGGCAGCACTGAAAGTCCTGCATCCTGGGAAGCCTGTCAGTCCCAGGTAAACTGGAGTGGTTGAACACTCGAATGCCAGCTCACACTGTCTTTAAAAATGTGTGAAATGTTCAGCTGGCTTACTCTTACTTTCCCATTCAGTTCTAAAGTCATTAGGTAGGCCAAGCAAGGTAGGCATTGTGTGGGGTGGGAGGAGCTGCGATACTGAAGCCCAATTAGGCGTCCGTCCATGAGGAGGGTGGGAGACAGTCTCCAAAATTATTCATGATTAATTAAGAGAGGGATTTCTATCTCTTCAGACTATTTCTGTACATGTAATGAACTTTGATATATTTATAAATGGAATCATATTGTACACGGTTTCAGCTTCTTTTGTGTGACACTGGATTGTAAACACCTTTCTGTGACAGTGCATCTAAATCTAAATAATTCTTTATAACAGCTTTGTGGAAATCCCTGGTATGGTTATACAACCATTTATTTACTAGGTCTTTCTTTGGTGGACATTTATGATATTTCCAGCTAGATTGTTTTTAATTTTAATGACTGAGTACCGTCTCTGGTAATATTTTCTATCATTCATTTAACAAGTATTTACTGACCACTTGAAATGTGTTAGACACCAAATTTCATGTTAGAAACTGAGGAATGCATAAAATTGACATGTCGTCTTCCCTCAATGAACTATCAGAGCAATCAATAAAGGAGTGTTTAACAAATGAATTCTGATATCTGTCTTGAGAAGGAATGCAAGAGAGAACCCATCCATATTTATTCAGTGCTGACAAAGAAACTATTTCAGTAAGCCAAGTTCAATCAAAGAGCAGAGTATAGGGCTGTTTTATGTCGAGGGTGAATATTACTCAAGATATTAATATGTTGTTTGCCCCTACAAAAAAAGATACTGTGGCTAAATACATTTGGAAGACACTTGGACTATTATCTCCTCTTAAATTCACACCACACATTAACACTTTGAAAGTTCTAAGAAGTTCTGCACTAAAGAAGTCTGTTTACCCTTGTGTAACCCAGAATTTTCTAAATGTATTTGTCCACAGAATCCTTTTATCCAGAAAATCTCTTAATATTTCTAGGAGCACTACTCTCTCCTGGAACACAGTTTGGGAGATGATATTGTAGATTGTAGAAAATTAAAGGTGAACTTGAGAACAGGTCTTTTTTTTTTTTTTTTTTAACAATTCTAGGGAGAAATTGTTTTTATTTTTTACCTGGAGATTTTATTTTTGCAATAATATTTTTCTCTTAAGGAAGTTTGGACGGTGTCTCTGAATCCAAGTTGCAAATCTGTGTTGAACCAACGTCCCAAAGGCTGAGGCCAGGCAAAACATTGGTTTTACAGTGTGTTGCTGTTGGAAGCCCTATTCCTCACTACCAGTGGTTCAGAAACGAATCACCATTAACACATGAGACCAAAAAGCTATACGTGGTAGGAAATTAATTTTCTGGGTATTTCTTGGGTCAATATGTAAAATAAGTGGTACAATTGAAATTTATGGTGAGGATTGAAACTAATATTCTTTGGGGTGTTTTAATGTTTTCAGTATTTTTATTTCTAGTCCCTTGTTACATAATATTTATTGACTCTTATATTTGCTAAAGTGCTAGAACTCAATACCAGCTCCCGTCTAAAGGTTTATACTGATATGTCAAATATTGTGGCACCAAACTCACCACTAATAGAATCATTATATCATTTGCTTGCTAATACTCAACCTAGTGAATGGAAATAATCTAAGAATGTCTGAAGCCTTCTGAAATTTTATGTTTTGGTTTGTTTTACATGAAATAACTTTTCCTCCAAGCCAATTTAAAATTCATATTGAAGAAGAAATATGTACATGTTCTGATATTGATACAGGTGCCGTGCGTGGATCTGGAACATCAGGGAACCTATTGGTGTCGTGTATGTAATGATCGAGACACACAAGATAGCAGGAAGGTAGAAATCATCGTAGGTAAGCAGTATCACTCAGTGTCCAACAAGTGGAATAAATTATAAACTGTATAAAGTGAAACATTTAAGCAATGGGAATTCTACTTTTAATCCATACTTTTTACCCCATACTATTTAGCTGTGTTTTTATGTGTTAAGTATCAGGGGTTATATTGTTTATACAGAAATTTGAGAGAATGCATGCTAAATTAATAATCTAGATTCACATATAAAGAGCAAAAAGAACTGAAAGAAAAGCTATTTAGATTATTTTATTTTTCAATTTTATAACTTATTTTTAAAATTTATGGCAAAAAAAATTATTCTTTAAAGCTTTAGCTATTAAAAAAACTCGATTTAGTGTTAAAAAATTTTTAACAAAGCATTTTTTAAAAACATAAACACCACAGACATATAAAGAAGGATTGATTATTAATCAACAGTCCCCATTATGAACTGCATAATGTGGGCATTTGTTCTATTTAAGTGTAATAAATTTATAGTAATGTTAATATTAATAGGAGATGTTGATGCATATGTTGGCTTGCCAACATATTTCTGTGGTATTTTTCTCTCTGTTTACTTAATGGCTGCCCTTTTAAGACCATGAATTACAATATATTCAAATTTGTTTTCTCTGAAACAAGGAAGAACAGATGAGGCAGTGGAGTGCACTGAAGGTAGTGTAATCCTTTGGTTTTGAAACCAAATACCTGCATGCTGGTTATCTTGGCATCGGTGGGGTGCTCTAGTTTACTGACTGCAGTGATGGAAAAAATACTAGCTATGAGAAATGATCTTGATTAAAGTATATCATATAATTTTTGAGGTTTTTTAAATTGCCACAGACACTATTAAAATAACCATTTTTAATGGATTTTCTATTGCATATCAGAATAAAGTTCCTGCATAATATCTTATGAATGCTGACCATTTGCAGTTTATCCTTCGTGTAGTTTTATCTTCATAATATTTGCATAAAAAATAGATGGCTATACTGTTACACATATTTGTTTAGATTATTTTATGTATCCTTTAGCCATGACATCATGCATTTCAAATGCAAGTGTAGTTTCTGTACAAGCCAGGGCAGGAGTTTATATTATTTAACAGGTATTTTTATCAAATATTAAGTATTTGTTTTAGTATAAAATTAGTAAGATCCATTATTTTTACTGAAACTGTAAGGCTGTAGATGAATCTGCCTGTCACCTTTTATATATAAAGAGAAGTGAAATTCCATTTCAACATAAAACTTCATTTGTTTGACTCAACCAGAGCATTGTGCCTAAATTGTAATGAGTAAATTTTAAAACTTAAATTACCTTTCCTTAGTGTGATGTCACATTGTTTTGCAAAATTAGGTTTGTGGATAGCAAAGTATTTTTTTCAATCTCTGCCTCTTTACACTATTATATAACCTTAGGCCCTACTTGGGTAAAGAAGAAAACAGAGCTAAGTCTTGGGTTTCATGGGTTTCCTGCCCTGCATATCTCTGTGGTATCACTTTGAAATGCTATAATTACTGTTTTGATCCTAATACATTGCTGTGAGCAGGAATTATCTAGCAATTAAGAGGGACAGGGTTTCCTGATCCTGTGATCTTAGCCATACATAAGGGAATCCTGACCAAACTCCTCTTCCTTCTCGTACTGCTTTTTGTCTAATTGCATGATTTTTAAAACTCTCTAACATTGAAGACTTCTAAGAATAAATATAAACTCTTTCATTGCTATTTGACTTCAGGATGAGGCAGGGTAAATAACCACCTCGAGGTGTTTCTATACCTACAAGGTTCTCTGTGTAATCTTTTCAGTGGTGGGCACACTATTAAGTAGTAATTTTCAAATAAACCTGTTCAGAACACTTGAAGATGAAGAGCAGACTATGAATTTACTCCAGAATTTTAGATGGAAAAATTAGATCCAACTTTCTGAAAAAGTCTACAAATTTAAGAGATGCTTTATAGTTGGTAGCGTGTCACATAGTATGAACAATGGTCTACACTGATATCTTTTTTTACCTATAGAACATAATGTTCTCTATTTCATTTTATATATTTTGTTAAAATATTTGATCATGGGGGGAAGTTGTCGAATAGGTGAACCACAGGGAAATTTTTAGGGTACTGAAAATATTCTGTATGATAATGTAATGGTGAGTACCCGTATGTAAATTCTTAAAAGTCATTTAGGACGTCCCAGGAGGGGATATCCCAGAATGGAACACAGAATGCGACAAGAACCTAAATGTATTACAAATGTATGAAGCAACCTCTGGAAATGAATGGAGTCTGTAAAACTAAAAGCAAAATAAATTGTACATAAACACTGTTCTCTGGTTGATACCATTCTTTAATTGATTTTTATATTGCATATAAGAAGAAAGTTCCTGCATAACATTTTGTAAACAATATTATATTTCCCATTTACTGTTAATACTAATTTTTACCTTCATAAATTTGTAAAAAACAGAAAATGGCTATACTGTCACGGATATTTGTTTAGATCATTTTATCTATGCTTTAGCCGTGGTAAGATGTCTCTCAAATGCAAATGTAGTTTCTGTAAAAGTTTCAGGAGAGGAATTTTATTGTTTAACATGTGTTTTTCAAATATTAAATATACTGTCTTAATATAAAATTGATAAGCTCCTTTGTTTTTTTGAAGCCACGAGGCTGTAGATTAATCTACCTATGTCACAGGGATATAGGTTAACAATTCTGGAACCACTATAACTCCCAAAAACACATTAATCCCATCTAACTGTGACAGGTGGGAGAAAGATACAGCAGTTGGCTTCCATAAAGATTTACAGCCATGGAAACACTGTGGAGTAGTTCTACTCTGTCTTGTAGGGTCACTATGAATTGGAATGGACTCCATGGCATCGGGTTTGTTTTTGTTTTTTTAATTTGGAGCCATGACAGAAACATCACACAAACCCCAATTGAGAGACATTCTACCAAATTCCTGACCAGTACTACTCAAAACTGTCAAGATTGTCAAAAACAAGAAGAGTCTGACAAACTGTTACAACCAAGAAGTGCCTAAGGAAACAGGAGGACTAAATATAATGTGGGATCCTGGGACAGAAAAACGAAATTAGGGAAAAACTACGCGATTCAGAATAAAGTATGAACTCTATTTAATAATAGTGTATCAGTACTGGTTCATTAATTGTGACCGATGTACCATACTAAATAAGATGTTAATAATAGGAGAAGCTAGGTGTGGAGTGTGCAGGAACTTTCTGTACTGTCTTCACAATAATTCTGTAAATCTTAAAAGTTTATGTAAAGTAAAGATCATTTTAGATTGTTAACTAGTGTCAAGGAGCCCTGATGGTACAGGGGTTAAGTGCTCAGTTGGCGGTTTGAACTGATCAGTGCTCCACAGGAGAAAGATGTGGCAATCTGATTCCGTAAAAATTACAGCCTTGGAAACCCTGTGGGGCAGTTCTGTTCTGTCCTGTAGGGTAGCTATGAGTTGGAATAAACTTGACAGCACACAGTGACAACTAGTTTCAAGTTTATAGTTGAGACTACAGACAAACCTACTCATTGACTGTTTTTGTCCCATAATTGGCCAGAATATCTGAAACTTTGAATAAATGATGAGTTTATTCAGCCTTTTATCATTTAAAAAAAAACAGTAATAGCTTAGAAGTCTTAAATGATATCCACAGCATATTCTTTCCTGTTCAATATTTGCATGGCTTCTCATTTAAAGCATTTGAAAAATTCTAAACTGGTAAAACATTATAACATGATTTAATAGCTCAAAACAAATTCTTTGATTATTCTTATTATTTGTGCTAAATTGGCAGTTAGATTGTTTAAAATGTATTTTCTCTTATTTCCTTTTAGATGAATTAAATAATCTTGGACATCCTGGTGAGTAATACAAATATGAAAATTAGTTTGAGATTTTTAAGTTACTGAATACCAAAAAATACTGTAGATATTCTTTTGCTATAGTAATAGTAGTAGCTTTTTTCTTTATTGAGATATCATAATTTAGTGTTGAAGTTATTACATAGATTAAGTACAATTTCATGCAAGTAAAAAGACTAAAAATATTGTAGATTATAAAGCTATAAGGGGTAGAAAGGATACTGAGGCAGCATAAAACATCATAGTGTGTTTTTTTTGTCATTGTGTATGACTTATACCGTAAAAAGAAAATCAGTGGGGCAAGTGCATGATTTTTAATTTGCAAGACAAGACACAGTCTTTGATAGAGCGTCAAGGGTAACATTTCTGAACGGGCCTGACCCTTGGAGCCTGGTTCTCAATTGCTCAGTCGTCGAACATATCTGAACTCGTTGGGCAGAGTGTCTGTATTGGAAGTGAAGTGTGTTATGGGGACAGTTGGCACCATAGAGACAGGTAGGTGGTCAGTGAGCACTAAGAGGCTGACCGATGGAGTTGGAGCAGGTGTTCAGAACTCTCTCAGCTGATTGTAATCAGAAATTTCTAAACAAGCTAAAGTGAAAGCCTTTAACTGAGTTAAAAGGCTTATCAGTTGTGAGGATACTTATCTACATAAAGAGCGGATGTCAGTGTAAGTTATGGGCATTCTGAAAGACAGAACCTGTGACAATATCCTAAAATAAAACCTTACAGAGTAGATTAAGAAGGTAATTGTGTCGTATAATGCTTGTTGAGATGCCTTTTATTACTCTGCATGTCATTTCTCATTATTTTTGCACCAGAACTAGTTTGCTTGGTTTCATACTCGTATTTTTGTTAATAAAAACGTATTATTGTGAATGATGGTTGGGCTGCACTGACTACATACAAGTAAAATCGACAAACCAGAAAGCCACTATTACCAGTGTACCTTCTCCTAGCAACCTAGAGTTCAGGTGAAGCCTCAGTGAGGCTTGCCCCAAACACCCAAAACTGAATAGTTAGTGTGGGAGCCACCCTGGAAATGTGGTTAGTTGTCCCTCTTCATCTGGTTAACATTACCACGTAGAAATTTCAGTCTAAAAGTGGTAGCGGTGGTGGCAGCAATCAGCAGCAGCATAGTAGTTAACATTTACTGAGTGCTTGCCTGACACTGTTCTACGTGGTTTATATAGAACTTGTCCGAAATGTGTCTGTTATTTCTTGCCTTTCTTCAGTGAACACTGTGAACACTATTTCAGAAAAACTTTTGCAGACAACTACCATTGTTTGTTGTTATATGCCATTGGGTCGACTCCTACTCACAGTGACCTTGTAGGACAGAGTAGAATTGCCCCCGTAGGGTTTCCTAGGCTGTGATCTTTATGGGAGCAGATCTTCATATCTTTTCTCCTGCGGAGCTGCTGGTAAGTTTGAACCACTGACCTTTCGGTTAGCAGCTTAGTGCTTAACTGTTGTGCCACCAGTGCTCCCTACAGCCACCATTAAGCTGCTAAAATTTTCATGGCTCCCTCTCTGCTGGTCTCCTTACTCCTCAGAGACACTCCACAGTTTGAGTTTTAAACACAAATGATGTTTGAGGAAAGCTTTTAATAGGCTCCAGTAGCATTTATATTACTAAGAATGCAAACAAGGTACCTGTCTGTACTAGTAGACAGAGCTCTTTCTTTGCATCTCTTCCTGGGTGGTGCTCCTGGGCCGGAGGTATTTCATTTCATGTACAATAAGTGGTGAAGAGCATGGACTCTGGAATAGGGTTGCAGTGGGTCCGAATCGACTTGACCAGCACGGGTTGGTTTTTTGGTTTTAAATTGGAATCCAGATTTGCTACTTATACCTTTAGGCAAGTGACTTAACCTCTCTCTTTGTAAAACGGAGGTAACATGCCCTGACAGGGAACACAACAGAAAATCCCTGATGGAGCAGGAGAAATATGGGGTGCAAACTCAATTTCTAGTAAAAGGACCAGACTTAATGGTCTGCCTGAGACTGGAGGATCCCCAGAAAGGATGGCCTCCGGACTCTCTATCAACCTAGAACTAAAACCATTTCCGAGGCCAACTCTTCAGACAAAGATTGGACTGGACTATGGGACATAAAATGATATTCGTGAAGAGTGTGCTTCTTAGCTCAAGTAGATAGATGAGACTAAATGGGCAGCTTCTGTCCAGAGGTGAGAGGAGAAGGCAGAGAGGGTCAGGAGCTGGTTGAAGGGATACGGAAAATCTGGGGTGGAAAGGAGGAGTATGCTGTCAACATTATAGGGAGAGCAAGTAGGGTCACATAAAAATGTATGTATAAATTTTTATATGAGAGACTAACTTGAATTGTAAACTTTCACTTAAAGTACAATTTAAAAAAAAAATAGAGGTAATAGTAGCCCATACCTCATAGGGTAGAGTGAAGATTAGTTAAATCAATTCTATATAAAGCACATAGAATAGTGCCAGACAGGCATTCAGTAAATGTTAACTACTGTGCTGCTGCTGCTGTCATCCACCACCGCCACCATTTTCAGATTGTAATTTCTACCTGGCATGTTAAGGATTATTACTACCCCCAGCTGTGTCAGTCAGTTTCCAAAGGAATTCCCCTGCCTTGATTCCAACTCTTCCATCCATGGTTATGTCTTTTTCAAGTATCTGAAAACCTTAAAATTGTTTGCAAATTTTGCTTTTAGAACCCATGTTCCGTATTTCAGTTATACCACCAATGTTGTTGTTTGTTGTTTTCCATATATATTTAACCCTGAAGATATTTGTGTCATGGATAATAACATCTTTTTTACATTTTTATCATTTTATAGATAATAGAGACCAAACCACTGACCAACCTTTGGGTGAGTAGAGCTTTAAATTACATGGTCTATAGCTCCATTTTCTCACTCAGAGCTCAGGGAATCCATAAGATTTTTTCTTTCCAGTTACCGTGGAGTCAGTTCCAACTCATGGCGACCCCATGTGTGTCAGAGTAGAACTGTGCTCTGTAGGGTCTTCAATGGCTGATTTTTTGGAAGTAGATCGCCAAGCCTTTCTTCCAAGACACCTCTGGGTAGACTTGAACCTCCAACCTTTCGATTAGCAGCAGAGTGCATTAACCATTTACACCACCCAGGGATTCCAACAAATACTTACATATTATATAGGACCTAGAAAAGGGCCTAACATTATAATATATGCTATTATACGTACTACATATGTACATATTGTAGTTCCAGGCCCTTTCCTAGGTGCTTATGAATATTAACTTATTTCAAATAAGATAATATGAATAACACTATTAGAATAATTAGATGTGGAATTAATGATCCGTGTAACCAATACATTGCATTAAGCTTAGAGGATGTCTAGGATTATTTAGTTAAATTATCTTTCTGAAATGGTTTCACTATTATACTGCTTAATCAGATGGCTTTTTTTTTCCTTTTTCCAATAAATGGTTCATGTTTGAGAAGTTGTGGGTGGCTCTTACAGGAAATGTTTTTCTACAGAAAATTTCTTCCTTTTATTTTATCACTTGAAAACCATCATAAATTGCTTGTATAGTTGCTAAGTTTTGAAGTTTTCTTTGATTCCTCACTCTTACCTCCCCAGATTCAACTTTTATTGTTTCTTTCTCTAAAGTCTGGCTTTTCCTTTTCCTTTCTTCAACTAATATCCTGGAATAGGTCTTTGTCATCTCTTCTTTCAACCACTGTCATCTGCTTCTCTATTCTAAAACCACCCCAGTTTGCCCATCGTCCAGGAACTGTGTTACAAGTAGATTGGGCAAGGTAAGATTATCCATCACTTTTATTATCATTAAATTCAAGAAAATGTTCTAAGACTTCTTAGGAACCAGCTATTAAAAATTACCATTGGGGAAAATTTTTTAAAAGAGTTATAGGCAATTACTGATACATTTTAAATGTGGTTCTCAAATTGTTAAACCTACACAATCTACAAACTATACCAAGTTTTCTTTCCCAAATAGATAACAAAACCAATGAAAAAGAATTAATAGTGGCAGAAACATCTCATGATGCTTAGTTTGACAGCTAGGTTATTTTTGGTGTTGTTTTTGTTTTTCCCAAAGATGCGGTGATTTTTTTCTATTGCATACTTATAATTGTTTTCTGCTGATAAAACTTAGTCTAGGATTATATTAGGATTAAATTATCATAGTATTCCATCATGGTGAGAGAGGGGGAATACTATGATTTGCATGCACTTTATTATCTGAAAGGAGCCCTGGTGGCGCAATAGTTAAAGCAATCAACTGCTAACCGAAAGGCTGGCTGTTGGAAACCACCAGCGGCTCTGCAGGAGAAAGATGTGGCGGCCGGCTTCTGTAGAGATTTACAGCCTCAGAAACTGTGGGGTCGCTATGAGTTGGAATCAACTCGATGGCAGTGGGTTTGGGTTGGAGTTACTACCCGAATGCCTTTGGGGACCTCTTACTCTGAAGCGGTCATTTGAGCAAGGGTGTGAGCCAGAGACACTGCAAGTTGTTACTTCCCCCACGTAGAAGGAGATTGAACTGAATCTGTCACTGTATCAAGGGTGGGTCTGATCTCTGATAGAGTTGACCAACCCACCAAAAAATGCACTGAGATTTTACTTTTTGTAGATTAGCTAGCTACTAACTTTGATACAGTGGGTACTTTTGTGTGAGTGCATATCTAGTTTGTTAAAGAAGAAATTTTACAGAAGAAAAATAAAATACAAGTGACGTTAAGTTTGTGAGATTATAATTTATTTTGGAGGACTACTTTAAGAGCAGAAACACATACGGCCTCCTATTGAAATTCATCCTGAATACTCCACTTTTTTCATTGAGAATAGCCAAAGGCAGTTTAGTAGAAGCTTTATGTCTGAATTTCTTTAATGTATTAAATGTTGTTATTGGGTGCTGTTGAGTCGATTTCTGACTCGTAGAGACCCCATGTGACAGGGTAAAACTGCCCCATAGGGTTTTCTAGGCTGTAATATTTATGGGAGCAGATCACCAAGTCTTTCTCTCACAGATTCTCTGGGTGGGTTCTAACTGCCAACCTTTCAGTTAGCAGCCGAGCCAGGGCTCCCAGTATATTAAATTGTCTTGATAATTGACTTTTTCTTTTGGGTAAAAGAAGAGATGGCCATTTGTGTAGGACTTGGAGTGACTTTTATTGGACTAAGTATGTGGCTTAAGTGTCATTTCGTTTTTATCTAAAATGTGTATACTCACAGAATAGGCAATTTGTAAGCATAGAATAACATGTCAAATGTATTGAGGCTTTTCACACAGTAGGGGTTTTCCACCATTTTGAGAGAGTCACAAGTTTTGAGTTGGTGCTAGTTTTTTTTAACATTAGACTTAAGTATTCCATGCAAAGAAAACTTGAAAGGTTCAGAGATTTTTGGTGAAATTTCATCTTAGTAATTCAGAACATCTCGAATTACATACATTACATATCGCAGGCATCCAGCCAACAGTGAAATTATTTATGCTTATTTCAGTTTCATAAGAGTAGCATGCATAATAATTTATACATAAACCACTTGACAGCGCTTTGTGACAGGGTCAGACGCCACGTCCTGGCCTGTGGCAGAAGAAGGTGGCCTGCAGTGCTACTCAGTATGACTCTCTGGCAATTTGGCTGCTACTGCCAGGTGCTCTAGTTATACTGTCTCCACTACTCCGCAGTGTCTTCATCACCAGTTTATACCATGATTTGTTCTGTGCACAGCCCAAGAAAAAAATAACTATGGTCATGGGCTGGTCTCAAGTCTTTGGCCTTTGACACCACCCCAAGCTTGCAAAGGTGCAATTTTGGAGAACCTCTTAAGCATTAAGCTATGTCCAGCTTTCCATAACTGTTTTTGGACAGTCTGCACACCTGATTAAGCCAGCTGGTACTTTTCAAGGCATAGCTATGGAGGTGTGGCTCTTTTTGCCCTTTACAAATAGACACAGTGTTTATCTCAAAACACGTGTTCTTTGAGCAAAGTCTTAGTGCACTAAGGTCGGAAAATGAACTGCTAAGACATCCATACAGAAAGTCTTTACATATCCCTAAGGTAAGCTGCATCTCACCAAGAGGGGAAACTTTTTTTTTTTTCTTTTTTTTTAAGAGCTACTGGGCTACTGCAAAGAACAAAAAGTATAGTACTTATTAAGTTCCTGCTTTTCTCGCCTCTTTGGCATATCCCGACTTGCTCTGATGTGAGTTCTTCCTGTCCCTGTCCCTGTTTTTGATATTTCTTTGTGTTTAACTTTTCCATTCTCTGCGAAATAGAATCTAGTGTGATGGGAAATCAACTTCACACATCTCATTTAAATTTGCTCTAAAAGTCTAGTTGAGTATTCTGTTCTTTTGTTGTAATTCAATAAAAGCATTACTTTAATATTTGCTACCATTTTGCTTCATATACAGCTAATATCCTTTGCCTGGTTCTCAAAAGCATCAATAAGTTTAATTACAGTTATTTGAGTTATTAGTCACTTGTGTTTCTCAGTATATTGGTCTGCTACGTTAAGAAATAGTTCTAAAATGAAACTTAGTAATAAGAAAATATTATCTCTAAAACATACGTTGTATTATTATATTTTTTGTTTTAATCTTTATATCCTTCTTTTTTTTTTTTTTAACAGCAAAGGACAAGGTTGCTCTTTTGATAGGAAATATGAACTACTGGGAGCACCCCAAACTTAAAGCTCCTTTGGTGGACGTATATGAATTGACCAACTTGTTAAGACAGCTAGATTTCAAAGTTGTTTCATTGTTGGATCTTACTGAATCTGAGATGCGCAATGCTGTAGATGAGTTCCTGCTCCTTTTAGACAAAGGAGTATATGGTAAGATAATCTTTGCTTTTTTTTATATGTACTTTCTAAAATTGTCTCAGTGTTGTTAAATATCTAACCATTGCATAGTCCAAGTTTCCTTTTTAAAATTTTTTGTAATTATCCACTGCTGTTTTAATTAAGGAGCCCTGGTGGCACAGTGGTTAAAGCGCTCAGTCTGCTTCCACGAAGATTACAGGCTTGGAAACCCTGTGGGGCAGTTCTGCTTTATCTTGTAGGGTCGCTGAGTCAGAATAGATTCCACAGCAATGGGTTTTTGGTTCTTTTAATTGCACAAGAGTTGAAAATCAGATAAAAGTAAGATATAAACACATTGTATTGAATTGAATTAAACAGTTTTATTTTTCTTATAAAAAGTAGATTTGATCTTCTTTCGTAGCTCCATAAGAATAACTAATTAGGGTAAAGGTTTTACTTTCATGTGTCTTGCTTTGGGGTTGTTTGTTTTTTCGATTTTGTTTCTTATTGACTAGAAGAGCTGCAGTGTGCTGAATGCAGTAAAGCTTGACCAAGTAGCAAAATGTATATTCATTCATATATGGAAAAATACTTTTGTGTAGGTGCGTGCGTACATGTATGGGATCTTTCAGTGCACATTCTATGTGTTTTCATGCGCATTCTGCATGTTTGGTTTTTTTTCTTCTAATTGTTGCATGGTGTTTTCTGGTCTTTAGTGAGAACTAAAATTTAACAAAGAAATATTGATGAATGAGGCAAATGAAAACATTTTGTAAACTAAAGTTCTATGTAGGTATAGTTAAAGGTGCAACTCCACAAAAGTTGTAACAGTAAATTTGTAATGACTTTTCCCATTCTTTCATTCAGAGACGTTAAGAACATGACACATATCGTAAAGACTTAAGAGACAGGATATGCTGTCAGTAGTAATTTATTTGGTGATTTATTTGTTTTCACGGGCCTTACCTCAGCTGTGGGAAGGCCAGCTGTTGAGCCCGTTGGGGCCGTATTTCACATGGGTTGTGCTTCCCATGTGTTGTGCAATAACATTTGACCGCCAGGAAAGTGACATTTCCAGGCCTGTTGTTAGGCATGCAAGTGATAAACAAAAAGTATCAATTTGGCTTTTATATCTTTTAAAGTATTTTACTTTAATCATTCCTAAATTTAACCTTTTTATTTATAATTAGATATGCTAGCATAGCTTGGTAGAATGGCTAATGATTCTCAAAGTGGAATTTTTGATGGAAAAAATTTTTTTTTCAAGTTTTAACACTATTATATGTGGGATAGGAAAAATTCTTTAAATCTTTTATTTAAATGATTGACTCATCTAAATAATAAGGATTACAGTTGTAACATAAATGAAATTAACAAGATAAACATCTCAATTTCAGGTTTCAGCTATTATGCTGATGTTGTAATAACATCATTTTTCTTATGAGTATTATGGAGTGATGACTATGGGTGAATCCATCCATTTATCTTATGAAAATATGAAAAAAAAATTCTATACAAGTATGCTGGCTTGATAATTGGTTCATATTTTCAGTCTAGAATCAGGCGATTATTTGATTGTTTTTATATAATTTACCTCAATTTTTAAAGTGCCTATGTTAATAAGAGGAGCCCTGATGGACAGTGGTTAAGAGCTACGGCGAGCTATGGCTGCTAACCAAAAGGTCGGCAGTTCGAATCCACCAGCCACTCCTTGGAAATTCTATGGGAAAGTTCTACTCTGTGCTGTAGGGTCGCTATGAGTCAGAATCAACTCGACGGCAGTGAGTTTGGTTTTTTAATTTTTTTTTTTTTTTTTATATTAACAAGATAGCTTAAACATTTCATAAAAGAAGAAAAATTTCTAGAACTTCACTAGGAAAAAATGTTGACCAATTTAGGTTTCTGTACTGGTGAACTATTTTTAAAAGTGAGAGAATTATATAAAGAATTCTGTGCTTGATTCCTTAATCTCATTTCTTACTGACATTATCACCTTGGCTTTAAGTCCTTTGTTTTGGCTATTTCAATCAAAACCCTAATTGCCCCTGCAAAGTAGAGAATTAGGAACATTAAAAAGTTGTGGCAAGAAAAGAGTTCGGCTTAGGCAGAACTTTACCCCAACATAAAACGTCATCTTGGAGTACGGAGTGAAGAGGCATAGTACAGTAAAGTGGCAGCTTAAGAAAGCTAGAAACCTTTTAAAATCCTGCTGATTCATGTCTTAACAGGGTGGCTGCATTATATTTTGAAGTATTGTGAATATCCAAAACATCAGACACATCTACATTAACTGTAAGTGTGGTAGAGGCTTGAGGTTTTAGGGCATGTTGTAAAGAAACACATTTCATTTTTCTCCTGGGCTATGCCTTTACCTCAGGTTGTTACCACCAAGTAAATAGTAATGATTTGGGGATGGGAGGAGCACAGTCATAGGAATTTTCAGCATGAACAACTTTGGATAGAGAAAACACAGGGATTTCGTTTATGTCCTTTCGTATTTTATTGCCCATAAGTTTATAACAACCATTGCCGTCAAGTCAATTCCAACTCTTGAGTTTATAAAAGAAGTAAAAATTGCAGTAGAACAAAAAATAACGTAATTCGCTTTTAAACATACATAAACATAAAAATCAAGAAGAACCACAGCAGAAATAACTGTCTTATACTACATGTCCTTGAAGATAATAAGGCTAAGGATTTCTAGTTATCTTGCATAGATAGCTAGGATAGAGATAGCTATTTAGCCTGCTATCTACCCTGCTCACCAAATGCCTTTTCTATATTCATCACTGGCTGCAGCTTAGCTATGCTCTTGTGGGGAAGAATCTTAAAGGAGTCTGATCAGAATATGGCAAAAACCTTACACACTCTAGAGGTGTCTCAGTCCAGTATACCCAGTGGTTAAGCAATGGGCCTTAGAGCAAGCTAATCCCAGTTCGAATCTTGGCATCTCTGCTGTGTGAAACTTTTCTAAGCCAAAAAAGTATCTGTAAAATGGATAGAAATAACTTAATGGGGTTGTATAAGGAATAAATGAGATAAAAGAATTAGTCCTCTGTTTGGCACATTAAAGGTGCTCAAATACTGTAGCTGTTATTATTGTAGTTTTCTGTCTATTTGTCAAAGGAATTCAAATTTTTCTACATCTTTAGATAAGAGATTTGGACTAGGTAGCATTCTACCCACTTTAGGCTTCAGTTAGAGAAACCCAGTTTGCATCTGTTTTTATGTGTTTAAGTTCTGCATGAGATTTCAGTTGAAAAAAGAAAAACGGGAGGTTCTTAAAGCTGTGGTATAATGAAGCAGTGGAACATTGGCGTTTTCTGAGAGTAAAGTTAACTTGAAAGCCAGCAATAGATTATAGACAGACAACATAATATAGCACAGTAGTTAATCTGGCCTGTGTCCAGATTCTGGTTCTATCACGTATAAATTGTGTGAATTTGGGTGAGCTATTAAACCTCTCAGTGTCTCACTTTTTACATCTGTAAAAAGGAGATGGCAGTATTACCTACCTCATAGGGTTAACCCATTGCTCTTGAGTTGATTCCAACTCACAGTGACCCTATAGGACAGAGTAGAACTGCCCAGTAGGGTTTCCAAGGCTGTAATCTTTACAGAAGCAGACTGCCACACCTTTCTCCCACGGAGCAGCTGGTGGATTCGAACCACTGTCCTTTCTGTTAGCAGCCAAGCACTTAACCACCGTGCCACCAGGACTGCTTTATAAGGATTAAATGAGGTAATATACATAAAGTGCTTTCTTAGAACAGGGCCTACCACATAGCAAGTGCTATATAAGTTTTGCGGTAGTGGTGGTATATTCCTAAGTATGTTAAATTCTTTGCCATTTATCAAGATACCTATTGTGTCCATCTACCCTTGAATAATGACATAGTTAATTGAATGCAAAAGCAGTACTAGAAGTAAAAATTTAACAATATAGTGATTTGGACTAGTCTATTTTACATAAAAATACTTAACACCCCTTGACATGGATTGAATTGTGTCCCCTCAAAATATGTGTCAATTTGGCTATGCCATGCATGGTTCCCAGTATTGTGTGGTTGTCCTCCATTTTGTGATCTGATGTAATTATCCTGTGTATTATAAATCCTAGCCTCTATGCCTGTGGTTATGATCCTATCTGGGAGTAAACTGTCTGTTATGTTAATGAGGCAGGACACAATCTACAGGATTAGGCTGTATCTTGAGTCAGTCTCTTTTGAGATATAAAAGAAGTGAGCAGAGAGGAGAGGGGCCTCATTACCACCAAGCAAGAAGAGCCAGGAGCAGAGCGCACACTTTGGACCCAGGGTCCATCACTGAGAAGCTCCTAGACCAGGGGAAGATTGCTGACAAGGACCTTCCCCCAGAGCCGACTGAGAGAAAAAGCCTTCCCCTAGAGCTGGCTTCCTGAATTTGGACTTCTAGCCTCCTAAACTGTGAGAGAATAGATTTCTGTTTGTTAAAGCCATTCGCTTGTGTTATTTCTGTTATAGCAGCACTAGATGACTAAGACACCCCTCAATATAATTTGGATGCAGACTTCATGTCATGGATTGAGTTGTGTCCCCCAAAAATATCTGTCAACTTGGCCAGGTCATGATTCCCAGTATTGTATGATTATCTACCATTTTGTCATCTGATGTGATTTCCCTATGTATTGTAAATCCTATCACTATGATGTAATGAGATGGATTAGTGGCAGTTATATTAATGAGATCTATAAGATTAGATAGTGTCTTAAGCCAGTCTCTTGTGAGATATGAAAGAGAGAAGCGAGCAGAGAGACATGGGGACCTCATACCACCAAGAAAGCAGCTCCAGAAGCAGAGCGCATCCTTTGGGCCTGAGGTTCCTGCACTGAGATGCTCCCAGACCAAGGGAAGACTGATGCATCACAAGGACCTTCCTCCAGAGCTGACAGAGAGAGAAAGACTTCCCCTGGAGCCAGCGCCCTGAATTCGGACTTCTAGCCTACTGGACTGTGAGAGAATAAACTCTCTTTGTTAAAGCCATCCACTTGCGGTATTTCTGTTATAACAGCACTAGATGACTAAGACACTTTGATACAAAATGTTTAACTTTTCATAAATGAAAATCATTTTATGAGGGAGTAAAGGTGTTTTAAGTGCCTTGATTTCAACAATTGCTGGTCTGGGCCTGTGGCATTGCATCAATGTAACCATACTGAGCTTTTCTGTGAATGAATGGAGACTAAGCCTTCCTTCAAAGTTGTTTCTTCTCCCAAGTTAGGTCTGGCTAAAGCCAGAGGTGTCAAAGGATATGATGGGAGCAGTACCCAGGCTTTCTGGTTGATTGCCTCAAAGTAATACCAGTCATAGAAGTGGCATAATTTCTACTAAAAGTCAGTCCCTTTATAGAAGGTGCTCCAGGTCTGTGTCCTAATTAATTTGCACTGTTTAATGTAATGCAATTTAATAAATACTGAGTTCCTTATTATATTCATAGCCCAGAAAAAGGAGTATGCTAGGTGCTAAGGGCAAAGGAGCCCTGGTGGTGCAGTGGTTAAGGGCTTGGCTGCTAACAGAAGGGTCAGAGGTTTCAACCCACCAGCTGCTCCACAGGAGGAACATGTGGCACTCTGCTTCCATAAAGATTACAGCCTTGGAAACCCTATGGGGCAGTTCTACTCTGTCCCGTGGGTCATTATGAGTCAGAATTCAACTCGACGGCAATGAGTTAGGTGCTAAGGGCAACACAGAGAATAAAGAACATGATCTACGTTCTCAAGAAAATTATAGTTTCTGATATAATAGGAAAAAACACTATATATGGAGTCAAAACACCTATCAGCTATGTGATTTTAGGCAAATCACTTAATCTTTTTAAATTCAATTTTCTCATCTATAAAATTGGGGCAGAAATCTTTTAAAGATTATTGTATAGATAAAACTAGATTATGTTTATGAAAGTCCTTTGAAAATCAAGAAGATTCTATATAAATGTAAAAGATTAATGTCTTTATCATGATCATTTCTCATCAGGGAAACTAAATGTGTATAGAACTGTAAAGTGTCAGTAAAAGCCAATGTGTAATTAAATGTCAGAGTGCTGCCGCAGCATTTCAAAGGAGGGAGAGATTGAAGTGTGTTAGGAAGCTACAGACCAGCTGATAACTTGCCAAAGACTCTGAACGTGATAACCCTTCAGGGCTGGTTGAGATTTGGGTAGATAGAAAGGAGATAGAGTAGCTTGAGCAAAGACATGGAGGTTAGAATCAGCTTATCTTGTTGTAGAAACAGAAGAGATGGAGAATAGAGTCATACTGTAAATACTTAATCAGTTGCCATGAGTCAACTGCGACTCAGACTGCGACTCATCGTGATGCTATAGGACAGAGTAGAACTGCCTGATAGGGTTTACAAGGCTGTAATCTTTAGGGAAGCAGACTGCCACATCTTTCTCCCTCTGAGTGGCTGGTGGGTTCCAACTGACCTTTCGGTTAGCAGCCAAGTACTTAAGCAGTGTGCCACCAAGCCTCCTTAAATACTTAAAAATAATTTTTAAAGTGTACAATTCAGTAGTTTTTAGTATATTTATAAAGTGGTGCCTCAGTCCCTACTACCTAATTACAAAACATTTTTCTCACCCCAAAAAGAAACCCCGTACCTGTTAGTAGTCACTCCCCACACACTCTAAATCCCTCAGCCCCTGGCAGCTACTAATCTACTTTCTACCTCTGGATTTGCCTCTTCTGGACATTTTATATAAATGTAATCATACAATATGTGCCTTTGTGTTTGGCTTCTTTCACTCAGCATAATGTTTTCAAGGTTCATGCGTTGTAGCATCAGTACTTCATTCCTTTTTATGGCTGATTATCATTCCATTGTATGGATATACCACATTTTATCCATTTGTCAGCAAATGGACATTTAGCTTGTTTTCTGCTTTTTGAATATTATGAATAATACTGCTGTGAACATTCATGTACATGGCTTTTGTATGAACATACGTTTCAGTTCTCTTGGATAGATACCTAGGAATATATTCTGGATACATGTTGTTCTTATCAAATACGTAATTTGCAAATATTTCCCCCATTCTGTGAGTTGTCTTTTCACTTTCTTGATCTTCATTGTTTATTGAATTAAATCCACTCCCTTTGTCATATCAAAATATACCCTATCTGTGCACTCTTAACTTTCCTTTACAACTAAAATGTGAATCCTTGCCAGGCTCATCTCCTTGCTGTTTGCTGTTGTTCTCAGACCCAAGCTGTGTTTGCATCTCTTCTCCCCACCTCTAACGTAAAACCTTATTATCTTGCTGCCTTTACACATTTCTGCCCTTTCTCCCAAGGCACATATTCCTGTCTGTACTGTACTCATTTCATACATGGTTGTCCTGATAACATAATGTATGACATTTAATTATGTGCCGACTTCCATTATTTAAAAGGAGCATGCTCCAGTCTCCAACTGGCGTACAAGCGCCTAGAGGATAGCAGCTTCGTCTTCCATTTCTTCTTCATTTCCCTCATTGCCTGCATGATAATATTCAGTGCACACTTGAGGTCCAGAATAAACCCACCCTGAATACACTGGTCGTGTCCATTTTGTCATTTCACCTGAAATATTATAATGAAAGAAACATTTTTCTCATTTTAATAAAGTTCAGGAGAAATAGAAGGCATGCATCCTGCCTTCTGGGACCAAGTGAACTAAGTTTTCTTTAGTGCCCAAAGCCACATTCTCTGCTAGGAATTTAGGATATAACTGCAATAGATTAGCTTTTGTTTTCTCTATCTAAATGCCTTTTACTATTAAACTTGGAGTACCGTAAAAGAAGTCATTATATCCAGAACATCGAGAGATCAAAATTAGCGGGCTCTAGAGATTACATCACGATAAACAGAGAAAATATTGAAGTTGTCGAAGATTTCGCTTTACTTGGATCCACAATCAACACCCATGGAAGCAGCAGTCAAGAAATCAAACACGTATTGCATAGGGCAGATGTGCTGCACAAGACCTTTTTGAAGTGTTGGAAAGCAAAGAAGTCACTTTAAGGACTAAGGTGTGCCTGACCCAAGCCATGATATTTTCAATCACCTCGTATGCATGTGAAAGCTGGACAGTGAATAAGGAAGATCGAAGAAGAATTGATGTCTTTGAATTATGTTGTTGGTGAAGAATATTGAATATACCATGGATTGCCAGAAAAACAAGTCTGTCTTGGAGGAAGTACAGCCAGAGTGCCTCTTGGTAGCGAGGATGGTGAGACTTCATCTCACATACTTTGGACATGTTATCAGGAGGGACCAGTCCCTGGAGAAGGACATCATGGTTGGTAAGGTCAGCAAAAAAGAGGAAGACCCTCGACGAGATGGATTGACACAGTGGCTGCAATGTTGGGCTCAAACATAGGGACGATTGTGGGGATGGCGCAGGACTGGGCAGTGTTTTGTTCTGTTATACATAGGGTCCCTATGAGTCGGAATCAACGGCACCTAGCAACTAATACTGTATGGAAATGTCTATGAAGTTTGTTACACTTGATATTGCAGTTGTTACTCATGTGAACTGTGTTTATTTGTCCATCCATTAAATAGTTACCGAGCTCCTTCTCTGTGCCAGGAGTACAGGGACTCCTAGTCTCATGGAGGAAAGAGATGAGTCCGCCAAGAAGTCCTAGCCAGCTTCTTTCTTACACATCATGAGATAAAATTGCATTCCATATTATACTATTGATTACAAATGTATTACTTTTATGATTAAAATATACTTCAACATCTTGATGTTGGTTTAAAATGCAGTACTTAAATTGACTGTTGCCGAAATAATTTTTAAATGCAAATTAACATTGACTGCATTTACAATTGGGTATTTCTTAAATGGCCTTATAGCAACTTGAAAATCATGTTTTTTATCATACGTGTGCTTACATATATGTTCTGAGTGCAATTTAGAGTTAATATGTATCCTTTTTTTATTTTCAGGATTGTTATATTACGCAGGACATGGTTATGAAAACTTTGGAAACAGCTTTATGGTCCCTGTTGATGCTCCAAATCCGTATAGATCTGAAAATTGCCTCTGTGTGCAAAATATACTGAAATTGATGCAAGAAAAAGAAACTGGACTCAATGTGTTCTTGTTAGATATGTGTAGGAAAAGGTAAAATTTCTAATCTTTATTAAACAGTGTGTTACAGGTAGTTAAATGTCAACCTTTAAGAATTAAATCTAAGGCAAACCTGTGAAATAACTAAGAACTACTTAAGTTTGTGAATTTTAAATTATAGATTAAAACTGATTAGGAAGAAAACTAGAGGAAAATGTATTTTCTCTTTGTATATTATTTTAACTTTTTTCCTATTTGCTGTAGACAGAAGTAGAAAACTAAAGGATATGGGTATTTACTCATACTAGAAAAGGATTTAACTCTTCAAAATGCCTTTAGATGTCTATAATACTTACTGCACTTACTCCTTGTAGAATTCACAGAACAAAGAGTTGGAGCCTTTGTCACTCTAGTCGATTCTGGTCTTGCACATACAAAAAGCTTAGGTGAAGCAGGTATTTGAAGGTTTGTATCCCAGTTGTCTGCCATCATGTTACTAAGGAGTAGAACCAATGATTATTCCATAGTGGCTTCTCAGGATTACTATATCTTGCTTGCTCAGCATTTACCCATCAGAATTCAATGCCAGAGTTCAAATACAACTCTAGTTTTAAAGCTATAGAGAAAAGATATGACTGTCTTCTGTCTCAATAGTGTTTAACTGAGTAGAGAATTTTTACTATGTTTTAATTATACATACTAGAGCAGTATACTGGATTATGTTTTCATTGTATTATCATTTATGCTCTTCTAAGAATTCTTATTTAATTTTTCATATTTGTGTCTTTCCTTCCCCGTTTTTTTCCCACTAGAAATGACTATGATGATACCATTCCAATCTTGGATGCACTGAAAGTCACTGCCAATATTGTGTTTGGATATGCCACGTAAGAAACTTTGTTTATGTTGGAGATTCCTTTATTCTTTGAAGACTTCTTTTTATGGTAGATTACGAGGCCTAGAAATATCCATCGACATGGGGTTGCCATGAGTCGGAATCAACTTGACAGCAGCTAGCAACAACAGGCATAAATTTGCCTCGTTGATACTGTAGAAAAATTTTAAGTACTTGATCTTATCTCATACTACCTTGATATCTTCATACCACTAAAGCACCAAAGCATTTTGTTCCTGCTTAAAGATTAACTCTCTCATTAGGGGTGTCATGCCAGAGGTAGAAGAAGCAATGCGACTCATCAGTGTTTATGGAAGCTCCTGTTCTTGTCACGTGGCAACTGTTAGCTTTTTTAAAAATTTCTTTTGCTTTTTTTTTTAGGTGTCAAGGAGCAGAAGCTTTTGAAATCCAGCATTCTGGATTGGCAAATGGGATCTTCATGAAATTTTTAAAAGATAGGTTATTAGAAGACAAGAAAATTACTGTGTTACTGGATGAAGTTGCAGAAGGTAAAACAAAAAATAGAGAAAACTAGTCAAAAAGAAGAAAGTGAGGGAAAGAAAACTACTTTGAGTGCCCGGTTTGGTAATTATTTTATCCCTACTGTTAGTTTGTAGGTTTGGAATTAGTATTTATTTTATAAAACCAATTTTTTGTGTCATGTCAGCAACACTTCTGCTGCTTAATTGCTTTCTTCATTCCCTATGGATTTGGCCACAAGCCATCTGTGCAGCATTGCTTAGACACCAGGGCTGACCCCAGCACAGTTGTGAAATAAACAAAGTTTACTCCTCAGCACTCTTGTCTTTGTTTCTATGCACAGTGCCTTGGTGCTGCCCAGTGTACTTGTTTGCAGAAAAGTTGCCCAGTGAGCAGTCTTTCCAGAGATAAGAGAAAACCGTGGAAATTTTGAGGCGCTGGTGGAGAAAGCTGTGTTCTTCCCTGCCTCCCCACCGCCCCCAGTTTGATAAACTTAAGCCAGTGGTTTTAAAATTCTACATGATCATTGAGGTCTACAACCATGTCTTCCGTTTCTTTCCATTTGCTTCACTGTCTGCCTGGTATAATGTTATACTCCTGTCAGGTGCTGAGTAAGTACTTACTGCATCAGTAGATTGCAATATATTTTTTGAATTTCCATTTTATAAGCCATATCCAAAAGAAGGCAACAGTTTCGCAAACTAGCACCACTAGAAAATGGAGTTTCATGGATGTTGCAGAGATGGCAGTTTGAGTATAAGATGCCTGAGAGTCTCACTAACAGCTGTTAGTCACATTTGCTTAGTTTCATGTTTCTCCCAGTGTAGTTATCTGAGCTAGATCACTTGACGTAACCACTTTCCCATTTTGACATAGATAGCAATGGCTGTGGGCTTCCTCTCACCCTCCTGCTTCAACCAGAACTGTGCTTTTTATCTCTCTTACATATTGGGCTTCTATTTAAGAGCTCATTTGGAGAAAAGGTTCTGCTGCCTAAGAAAAATGTAAAACCTTTGGACTCTGTCAGTTATTTTCAAACTGAGATCTATGAAGGTGCTTCAGAGGCTCTAAAAATGTTTTATTCTAATGTCATATTTTAAAATCTATTTTAACTGTTTTAAAACTTAAAAAAAAGCACCGTGCTCACCAAGATACGGTATATACCAAGTTGTCATGGCAACGAACATCATCCCAGTGTGTACTGTGAGTTAAATGTCCTGTGGATTTAAACTTCTTAGGAAGGTTTTGCTTTTCACAGATCTTTTTCAGACCTTCCATGTCCACTTAATTGAAATAGCCCAGGCAAGGAATAATACAGTATACATGTAACTCACTCAATTCCAATGCCAAACACATTCCCATCATGGGTAATGGCCAACTAATTGTACAAGATAACTAAAACTTGAACAATATTATGGTAATACAATACAGTTAAATTTAGCACTTATTTTCAGATTGGGGTGTTTTATATCTGACTTTTTTTTCTTTTTTGTAGTTAAGAGTGAAAGTATTTCTTAAGAAATTGTTTGTAGTTCATCCAACTTTGAAACAATTTCCCACTCTTCCCTTTTCTCTTTGCATTAAAAAAGTATTCTGAGATCATAAGCCAAGCAGTTGGAAAAAACCACCTTACCAATTCCAACTGCATGCAAATGAAACAAAATATAAAACAAATTGGTTGCTGTTATAAGGCTATAGCTGTTGAGCTGTAACCCAAGATTCTGAATTTCTATACTGATCAAGACAGCCTTAATCAGGATTATATAAATCTTAACATACTATTGCAAAATAGTAGTTGATTACTGTTATCTGACTTTAGTAGTTTTTGCCAAAGGTTAGCCTCAAACTAGGGAAACAGGAACAATAGATATGAACATTGCTACTGGTATAAATTAGTACAATCAGTTTGGAGAATAAATTAGCTAATACCTAAAATTCTCATAAGATGACATGTACAAGGAAATCCATTGCAACAGTGTTTGTCATAGAGAAGTAAGATTATAAATTGTAATTTATTCATACAAAAGAACTTGATACAGAAATGTAAGTCGCTCTGTGTCAGTCTGCGTCAGTCTCTAAAAGGTGTTGAATGAAAATAGCACATTACAAAACCATGCATATAACACTATTGTTAAATTTGAAACCTAAAACTTTGGCACATACTGTTTAGGAATATCTACACATGGGTATAAGGAGCCCTGGTGGCGCAGTGGTTAGGCGCTCAGCTGCTCTGCAGTAGAAAGATGTGTCAGTCTGCTTTTGTAAAAATTTACAGCCCTGGAAACCCTATGGGGCAGTTCTGCTCTGTCCTGTAGGGTCAGTATGAGTCGGAATCAACTCAGCAGCAACCAGTTTACTCCTGGGTAAAAATAAAAATACATGTGAGAGTATATACACTACACTGGATAACAGTCACCTCCAGTGCTGGGGGATGGTAGTGATAGTGATGGGCTTTAGCTGTGTATACAGGTGGCTTTAACACATTATTTCCTTTTCTTTTTTTTTAATGAAGCTGTCTCGAGTAAATTTGGCAAAATACTGAAATAATTTTAATCTTAGAATTGGCTTCATAGGCATCAATGATAGCTTTCTGTACTTTTCAGTATTTTTTAAATTTACTCAGTATGTATTTTAACATTTTAATACATAATAATATAAAAATCGATCTTACATTTCATTTGATAAAGATTCTGCTGCAAAATAAGTTTGAAAAGTACTCAGTGGTGTTCTCTAAGGTACATTCAAGTTCTGAATTATAATTCCATGCTAATTGAGATGTAAAAAAGTCAGTATATAATATTTTAATTCTTTTCATTGATATGTAACCATTTGGTTTGTAACTGAATGTGTTTCTAAACAGTGTGGACATAAAATTATCGTGACTACTCTTTCAGTGGAGCCCTGGTGGCACAGTGGTTAAGAGCTACAATGAGCTATCACTGCTAACCAAAAAGTCAATAGTTTGAATCCACCAGCCACTCCTTGGAAACCTTATGGGGCAGTTCTACTGTGTCCTTTAGGGTCGCTATGAGTTGGAATCTACTCAACGGCAATGGTTGGTGGTGGTGGGCTCTTTCAGTAAAGAAATATATTTTTAGTTCTTTGTGAATTTCAAGGATTAAAACATTAGAGATTCATTAATTGACTTCTAGAAGGTAAAACGTTAGAAAAGGGCCTTTAGAAGTGAGGTGGTCCCATATTTTTATCTGTTTGCTCAGTGCTGTATCCCCAGCACCTAGAACTGTGCCTGGCACACAGTAGGTACTCAGTAAATATTTACTGAGTGAAAGAATGATATGGAGGATACAGCCTGACTCGTAGAGAAGTCTTAGCCTAGATAGTTAAACCACTAAAGGATTGGTAGCCTTAAAAGTAATATCTACTTCTTCTCTTTTAGATATGGGTAAATGTTACCTCACCAAAGGCAAGCAGGCTCTAGAGATTCGAAGTAGTTTATCTGAAAAGAGAGCACTTACTGATCCAATACAGGGAACAGCGTGTTCCGCAGAATCGCTGGTGAGGAATCTACAGTGGGCCAAGGCACATGGTATGGTGAATTCTGTGTTTTGTGAGATTTTTTTCTATGATATACATACGTTAAATCATAAAAACTTTTTCTCCTGTATAAACAGCTTTCCTGCCAATTTTGTAGTGGAAATATTTTGGTCTAACAGATAAACCCAAGACTAAATGAGTGTTTCAATTATAGATATTACACTGATTTATTTGATGTTGGGGATATTAAATTATTTAACCCATCATTTTCACCATTGGTAAAATTAAAATATGATCATTTTTTAATTCTCCTGTTTTTAAAATGTGTTAATTTTCACTGTGTCCAGTAAGCAGTCCCTTAGATTCTCTTATCTTGTGACTTCTTGGAGTGTGCTGTATCGAAAATTAGACAGGCCTCTGTCCTGATCCTGTCTCTACCACTTGGTAAACATGTTATCTCTAAAATGGGGATAAAATATAGTACCTACTTCATACGGTTCTTGAGGTAGAGTGAGATTACTCCTGTAAGGAGACGAGCATGGTGCTCAGCAAGTAATATAGGCCAGGAAATACTCCTGGACATTGTCTCTCTGACACTCGGATCCAGAGGGATGGCTGAGCAGGAAGAGAAGATGTGGTGAAGATCGTATTTGTAACTTTATTACCTTCTGACAGTTGTATGTGATTCAGTGAAAAAGTAAGTTTAAATTTTTTAATGAAATAAACACTTTGGATTTTCTGTGAGTTCCAAGTATATACTGTGAATTTCTTATTATGGATAATTGAAAATTATTATATTTGTTTAACTCTATGAAATATGTTTCTTTTATTAATAGTCTTTGTTCTCTAAGATACGTTTTTGGTAAATTAACTGGGCTTTTTATTCCACTTTTTTTTTAATTCTGCATGGGTGTTAAGTTTTTGAGCAAAAGAAAAAGCTCTAACCGTATTCTGTCCCATAAAGAATATTACGGCAAGTTAAAATGTAAAATGCCATAAATACACTATCTTGACAATCCAAGTAATCGGATAAGTAAATTAAATTGAATCTCTTTTCTTTAGAAAAAGCTCTAAACAAAAACAGTAACAAAACCTCAGTGGTAAAGATCAACAGTAAACAAAACTTTTATTAAAAAACTAAAATGGCAGATAGTAAGTATTTATAGTAAATTTGATGAGTGGGTAATTTCTTTATAATAAAGAGCTAATGTAAAATAGTAAGAGAAAACTTTAAGACCCCCTCAATAAACAAGCAGCTTCAATAATCCAAACAGTTGGAAATATATTAGTAATTAAGAAACAAATACAGAAAATGGCAAATTTTAATAGTAATTAGAGAAAAGAAAATTAAAAACCATGATAGTGTATTTTTTCTTTGATCCATTAAATAGACAAAAAAATTTTAATTAATGCCCAGTGTTTAGTATTAGTATGAAACTAGTATATTTATATTTCATGTAAATTGAAAACAGTTCATCCTGTATGTGGAGAACTGTAAAATAGCTATATCCAACAATCCTAAAGAATTAAGTATATATGAGATATTGGCTATGATGAAAACAAAACCCAGAAATATCATCAGTATTCAAGAGTGGCAGAATGGTTAAAGGTAATAAACTATGGTGTTGTTGCACGGTGACATTATGATTTATTTAAAAGTATTGTCAAGATTGAGGCAACAGTGTAAATATATCTACAGTTGTATTTATACCTGTGATTACTGCTGTAAAAATTATGTATGCAGATGGGCAAGAACTGTAATAGTCAATGAAAGGTTTGGTTTTATTTTTGGGGAACCAGCAGAATAATGGACTTTTCTTTTTCCTTCCTTTTTTAATTGTGTGTGGGTGTTTTTAAATAGTATAATTTTGGTTATGTGATGTTTTTGCACAAAAAACAAAAAAAACTCTAACCATATTCTGTCCCATAAAGAATATTTGTTGTTAGTCATCAGAAAAGAGCCCTGGTGGTGCAGTGGTTAAGCATTCGGCTGCTATCTGAAAGGTAGGCGGTTCGACCAACCAGCAGCTCCATGGGAGAAAAGGCCAGGGAATCTGCTCCTGTAAAGATTACAGCCTAGAAAACCCCGTGGGGCAGTTGTACTCTGTCCTGTAGGGTCGCTATGAGTCGGAATCAACTTGACGGCAAACACCGACAACAATCACCAGAAAACTTACCAAGCTCTCTTCAAATAATTAAGTTGTTCTTATTCTTTTCTTTTAGAACTTCCAGAAAGCATGTGTCTTAAGTTTCAATGTGGTGTTCAGATTCAATTAGGATTTGCAGCTGAGTTTTCCAATGTCATGATAATCTATACAAGTATAGTCCATAAACCACCTGAAATAATAATGTGTGATGCCTACGTTACCGATTTTCCACTTGTAAGTCTCTCCTTTTTTCTTTTGTTTAAAATACAATGATATATCCTCACTTTTTAATGACTGAATTTTTAAAAAATTAAAGTTGATGGTAGATATAGCAGAAATACACACACACTTGTATTTTAGTCACAACGGTTGTAATATTTAAAAATTAATTGCCAAAAATACCTTAAGCTTGTGAAATTAATGTACAGAGTTCATTTAGGAAAAATGCCATTAATTTCTCTGACTCTAAATAGAATATCAAATGTGAAGAAATGCACTATACAAATATCAAGAAGAATTTCTTTTTAAAAATCATTGTTTCCAATATGTTATTACAGTAGTATTAGCCTTATTTAGAACTGAAGCCACTCCCAAAGTTCACCTTTCAGCCAAAAATTAGACAGGCCTGTGAAGCAAACAATAACACATGTGAGGAATGTGCTGCTGCTTTTTAGTTCAATCACATGTACAAGACCAAATGGCAACACCTGCCCAAAAGCAAAGACGAGAAGGCGGGAGGGGACAGGAAAACTGGACAATGGACACAAGGAGCCTAGGGTAGAATGGGGAAGAGTGCTGACACATTGCAGGGATTGCAGCCAATGTCACAAAACAGTTTATGTATAAATTTTTAAATGAGCGATTTGTGCTGTAAACTTTCACATAAAGTGTAATAAAATTTAAAAAATAATTTCCTTTCAAAAACCATTGTTTCCAATATACATTATCGCAGTGTGTGAGTCTCATTAACTTATAGTAGTATATTGGAAGAGTAGAAATCTAGTTCTGTTCTTTCCAAGCATCTAAATATAATTTTTATGTGGATCTCAAGAATCCAAAAATAGTACCCGTCTTCCCTGTAGAGGTATAACAAATTGAAAAACAAACAAGGAAGGAGTAAGAGAAACCAAAACCAAATTTCGCTTTTATTACTGGTCAAAGCTTCATGGGAGACACTGCTTAGTGTGGGAGCCAACGGTCTGGCCCTGAACCCTAGGATTAGTCAAGTTTGTCCACAAATCTGGGCAGCAAGCTGTGGATTGGCCTCCCTGTGTGTTGGGCGGAGGCGGAACCTGTGGGCTTCTCTCTGCAGGAGCGGAACCTTTGCCAGTGGACTGACTTCCGGAAGAAGAAGGAGGCTAGGGCTGGCTTTAGCTTGTCCATTATTCTTCTTAAATGCTCTAATCTGTAAATCCCTTGTCCCCTTCCCAGAAGTGATGAATAAAGAGGGAGATAATTCAGGAGTAAAATGCTAATGGGGCTCTCTACTTAAAAGGAAACTTGAGCAGGTTCAGAAGCGTTTCTAGGAATAGTCTGAAAGTAAGCTGTCCTTTCAGAGGTAACTGTACTTTTTAAGTGTATTAGTGCTGAATTTGCAAGTCCTCAGAGATGTGGTACACTCCCATTACATCTATTTGTAATTAAGTGTCAGTGTGGTATTTGCCAGTTAAGAACAAAATTGATAATAAAGTATAACTATAGAATGTTATTTTCATTGTTTCTTTAGTCCTAGGTAAGGAGTTAACCCACTCAAGCCAAAGTTCATGAGAGGGATGCTTGTGAAGAGGTTTTGTGCCATAGACTGTTGTTGACTTTCATTGGTTTCATTATTAACTTGCACTGATTTTCACAGGACTTAGACATTGATCCAAAATATGCCAATAAGGGGACTCCTGAAGAAACTGGCAGCTACTTAGTCTCAAAGGATCTTCCCAAGCATTGCCTCTATACCAGACTCAGCTCACTGCAGAAATTAAAGGTGATTACTTTCCCTCCTTACGATTACTAATGGAAAACTTTATGAAAGTGAAAACTCATTTTGGCCTGTGACCCTTGTATTAGTCCATAAATGTGCTGCTTCATTGGGGATTAACTTGAAAGAGAGATGAGAAATCTACATTAGGTCTTATCAGGGACGCTTTCATATTTTATTCTGTCCCTGACAGTGGCCTGAGGCTATTTGTGTGAGAGTAGATGTAATTATCCTCCACATTGTTGAAAAGTTAGGGACAGAGGGCATATTCTATTTTTAAATGTCTTAGCATTTTCAAGTAATCATTTCCTAGTGCTGTGACTTTCCACAAAACATATAGCAAATTAGAATTGGAACTTATTATTTTAATCTTTTTTTTATTTCTAGTTGTCTTACGAATGAGAAACTACCTGTACATAGTTGAGCTTTCTTATGAAAGCATATCCTTGCCAAGCTTGAATTTTTAATTTATTCATAGCTGCATGACCATATAATTCATCAGCCAAACAGAAACGCTCAGGGAATGAAATGAGGCACCATTGACAATTACACAGGGACAACAAGCGTAAACCTGCTGTCACTGTGTTCATAGCTAATCTGTTTTAATTCTCCCACTATCTGAAAGAAAGTTAGCCCACTATCTGATTCAGTTATATTTCTCTACCTATGGTTGCAGATTATTTCATCATATTTTTTAAAGAGCGTAAGCTTTTGACCTAGGTATAAAGCCCGCGTTATTTTTTCTTTACAGGATAATTCCCCATCTCCAAACATGGGGAAGGGTAAGTTTCCCAAGCCCCCACTACTTGGAAAATACCTTTTTGCTGTTCATCAGGAATGTAATTTTAAGATCTCTCTGATTTTTGCCTACTTTCAGTGGTAAACTAGAATTCTGCTGAACTCTTAAGAATTACTATTGGATGAGAGAAAAAGATAATTATAGCTGGCCTTTCTTAGCTCAGGGAAGGCAGAAAGGATGCCTTGAGGATTTGCAAACTGGGAAAGGGGATGCTAGTGGGTTTTTTGTTGTTATATTATTTTGTTTTATTTTTGATGAGTGATATTTTAAGGTTGATCTACTTTCACTAAGGAGCCCTGGTAGAGCAACAGTTAAGCACTCTGTGGGGGAAAGACTTGGCGATCTGCTTCCATAAAGATTACAGCCTAGAAAACTCTGTGGGACAGTTCTACTCTGTCATACGGCGTTCCTGTAAGTCAAAATTGACTCGACAACACCTAACAACAGCAGCATACTTTGTTGATAAAAATAACAAACCACATTTCTTTCTTTTTTCAGGAACATCTAGTCTTCACAGTATGTTTATCATATCAGTATTCAGGATTGGAAGAGACTGTAGAGGAAAAGCAGGAGGTGAATGTTGGGAAGCCTCTCATTGCTAAATTAGACATTCATCGAGGCTTAGGAAGGAAGACGTCCTTTCAAACTTGTCTTATGTCAAATGGCCCTTACCAGAACCCTGCGTCCACCTCAGGGGCAGCCGGACACTATCATTCTTCTCAAGATTCATTCCATGATGTTTACCACTCACATGCTGGTAATTCAAGTCATGCTCTGCCATCGGATAGTTGTCATTGCAGCCGGACTCCAGACCCATTTATTTCAAGTTATACCCACCATTATTCATCCCATTTTGGTAGAAGTAACGTCCCTGTAGAGACAACTGATGAAATACCATTCAGTTTCTCTGACAGGCTCAGAATTTCTGAAAAGTGACCTCCTTGTTTTTGAAAGTTAGCATAGTTAGACCAGATGCCTCATATGCAACACAGCTTACATAAAATGGGGCATTGTGAAAAAGGAACAAGTATACAGATAGAAAGAAAATTAATAACAACAGTTTCATAACAAGCTCAGGACCATCCACTTTGAGATCTGGGAATTGTATTTTTAGCCACAGACTTCCTCCTCTTCTTAAAAGATAAGTTTTTTTTAATTGGTTGATTTGTTCTGTAAGAATGAATTATGTGGGTGTGGGTATGTTTATGTGTTATATACCAAAAATATTTTCAATTTGACCACTCGGAAGTAAGAGCAATGGGAATGACGTTATTGTAGAATAAGTCATTGTATTTTTAGAACCATTGTAGTTTTAGAACCAGAATGAACCTTGATGATCATCAGACTTAACCTAATTGTATCAGTGGAAGTAACAAATTGAAGCATCTTGTCTAAGGTGGAGCGAGCACCAGAATTGAGGCCTCCAGATTTCCATTCCAGCGTTTATTCACTACACACACTGCCTCCCTGACAGATTCGATGACAGGTATTATTTTTGTAAGGAGCCCTAGTGGTGCAGTGGTGAAGTCCTTGGCTACTAACCGAAAGGTTGGTGGTTTGAACCTACCCAGCAGCTCCATGGGAGAAAGACCTGGCGATCTGTTTCCGTAAAGATTACAGCCAAGAAAACCCTATGGGGCAGTTCTGCTCTGTCACATAGAGTCACTATGAGTCGGAATCGACTCAACAGCACCCAACAACATTATTTTTGTAGATAGATTTTAAAATATATATATATATATATACAGTTGGTATGCATATCTGTATATTATCTCGAAGAATGTACAAATTTTCATTTGCATTTACAGGACTCTGCTGCAAGTGTCAGTTAAGAGGTTTAAATGTAAATCTTACGTAGTCCAGGCTGAAATTTTTGGTTCATAAGGTCATCTTGCTAAGTAGAAACTACAGGTGAAATGCTTGTCTGTGTTAAATTTGGGCAGCAAAGCTTAAGAATCAAGGTATAATTGGATAATTGTGGTAGCTGCTTATTTGAAACTTCCAAACACTGAAAGTGTCTTCCTTGGTAGCATGTATTTTCTTCTTGAACTTTACTGACCTTAGGAAACAATATTCCTGTAACCTTTGATTCTACCTTAAAAGCAGATTAAAAAGGCAACTGGTAATAACAAGTAAAAAAGTTGAATTGGTAATTTTAAAATGTACCACAAAGAAAACCCCAGGCCTAGATGCCTTTACTTCTGAAGTCTACCAAGCATTTAAAGAAGGAAATAAGCCAGTCCTTCACAAATTTTTCCCAAAAATAGGAGAACATTCCGCAACTCATTCTATAAGACCAGTATTACCCTGATACCAAAAGCAAATAAAGACAGCACAAGAAAAGAAAACTACAGACTAATACCTTTTTGGGGTTTGAAAAATATTCTTAAATTGTAGCAGTGGTTGCACGACTCTGAATGTACTAGAAGCCATCAAATTGTACACTTTGAATGGGCGGATTTTTATGGTATATGAGTTGTATCTCAGATCTGTTTTTTGTTTTGTTTCGTTTTTTGTTGTTTTTGTTTTTTAATTAAAAAAAGAGAAAGAAACTGACAACTGGCAGATCTGTCTCCTATCCCCACAAAATAACTCGTTCTTCGGAGATCTTTGTTCACAGCTGCATGCCTGTTCTCAAGGCATTTTTGGTCTTGCAGTTAGTTCCTTTAACTTGCTTTTTGGAACCTAGAGAAGATACTAAATGTTTCACTCCAAAAAAAAGGTAAGGTGAGGTCAGAAAATGGGCTCTTAAACCTGGAATTTCAGACCAAACCCAATTTAAAGGTAAAGTTTTAGACCTCATTTTTCAACCTGAATAACATAAAAGTAGGTCACCATCTTAAATTGAATTGTTTTTTTATTTTCCTTAAGTGCTATACATTGTCAGGAAAAGGAAGAAGTTAGAGACTAGAGATTGAGTAGGTGTTAAAGAATTGGTGTTACAAAGAAAAGTCGTTCATTACAAGTTCACCTGTCATTTCTGTGTAATTGTGTGTCTGCTTGATAGCAGGTTTCATAGAAACCTATAAATCATGACAGGAAAAATCTTTTTAGCATTTTAAATGTTAGAAAGAACACATTTGATGTATGTTTTTGATGGGAGCACAAATTGGTGAAACCTTTTGTTTAGACCAAAGCACTTACCTCCGATAATTTTAAATTGTTAAAACAGAAATAATCTAGATGCTTACCAGTAGGGGACCTTTAGGGAAAATTAATTTTGGTCTTATATGTCACTGTTAGATAGAGCAAAGTATATGTGACCTATATATGCTGCTATGTAGGAGCCCTGGTGGGACAGTGGTTAAGAGCTTGGCTGCTAACCAAAAGATCAGCAATTTGAATCCACCAGCTGCTCCTTGGAAACCCTACGGGGCAGTTCTACTCTGTCCTGTAGGGTTGCTGTGAGTCGGAATGCTGCTATGGGAAGCTGTCCGTGGTAACAAATGACAAAAGGCAAGTGCACCACAGTTTCATAATATTTTTTTTATTTGTTTGTTGATGTGCTTGTATAGGCATAAAAAGTTCTGGAAGAATATATAAGTGCTTAATTCTGGTTAACCTCAAGCAGTGCTGTCCAATAGAACTCCCTGTGATTACGGTAACGGTCTATATCTGTAGCTCTCCAGCATGATAACCTCTAGCCCCATGTGGCTGTTGAGCACTTGAAATGGAGCTAGTGTGGGTGAGGAAATGAATTTTTTAATTTTTTTAATTGTTAAATTGTATTACGGTAAACTATATATAACCCAAAAAAAGTCTTTTGTTTTAATCATTTTTAAGTATACAGTTCAGTGGCATTAATTATATTCACCGTGTTGTACAGCCATCACCACCATCCAGTTCCAAAAGTTTTTCATCACCCCAAACAGAAACTAAGTGCCCCTTAAGCAGTAACCCCACTGCTTTCTTCCCCCAGCCTCTGCTAACCACTAATAAACTTTTGTCTCTATGCATTTGCCTATTCTAGACGTTTCATATAAGTGGGATCGTACAATATTTCAACTTTAGTGCCTGACTTATTTCACTAAGCATAATCATTTTCAAGGTTCATCTATGTTATATCATGTATCAGAACTTCATTTCTCTTTAAACATAAGGCTTAAATTTTAAGTTGTTTCCTGTTATTCGAAGATTCTACTGGTGCTTATATACTATTATTGGTTTTAACTGTTAATCGATGCCATATACTCAGGATTTACACATTACTTATCTGCATTTCAACCTGTTTCTCCAGTTTGACACTGAATTTCATACAGGCCCCGAAAATAATTTTTTTTGCTTGCTACTTCAATATATAACATTTCTAATATTATTGAAATTAGTAAATATCCAGAACATGAGAATGTTTGCATAAATATGCATTTTTTCCCAAGTCAGAAGCATTAAAAGTACTTCAACACCAGACACAAAGTTTGGCTTTACTAAGGAGTCTGAAAGGAGCCCTGGTGGCACAGTGGTTAAAGCGCTCGGCTGTGAACTGAAGGGTCAGCAGTTCGAACCAACCAGCTGCTCCTCGGGAGACAGCCTTGGAAACGCCATCGGGCAGTTCTTCCCTGCCCTGTAGGGTCACTATGAGTCGGAATTGACTCAAGGAGTTGAGAAGTCTAAAACTAGAAGGCACCTCCTCCAGAAACAAGGAGCCAAGAGGAGGGGGGCTGAGAGGTGTCCAGTGTGTCTGTGGGGAACGGAGAAGAGGACAGGCCACCGGAAGTAAGGACTTGTGAGGAGGCTGTCGATTCCTCTGGCATTGGGATTCGTCAGGACTCAACAGTGAAAAACCCAGGGGCCTAGGAATGGCCCTAGGTAGGATCCTTTGGATGCTACTAATGGCCCCACTCAAGGAGCTTAACCAAAAATGAGCTTTTATTAGGATGACTCAATGCCTTGAATCCCATGGGCAGAGGCTACATCCAAGCTCTGGAAGGACCAGGAAGTCACCCAGGGCTCTCCCTCTAGGTCTCCAGACCGGCTTTCCCATTTCCTTAAGCCCAGGTCAGAAAACAGCCATCCCAGGGCCCTACGTTTCCTCTCAGTTCCAGAACACCACCTCCTGGGGACGAGACCCTCAATTCCACATTCCTGATAGCTTAGCCCAGTCAGACGTGGACGGTGATTTAAACTCACTACAGGTAAGTCCGTGGTTGATGTTTCCTTTTTACCACATGTATGAAAGGACTGACGCCGAGCCTTGCGTGTTTAAAAGAAAAGGCCATCAGTATATAATGTGACCAGCAGAAGCCATGGGAACAGACATTTCTACCAAAGCAGCGCAGGGCCAGCCTGGGATGAGGAGGGCAGCCTCTGGTGTGTTCTCCCTGGGTTCAAAGACCAGCCTGCAGTTTCTTCTGGTTGGCCGTTGATTCCTACTCATGGCGACCCCATGTGTGCAGAGAAGAACTCCATAGGGTTTTCAAGGCCGTGATCTTTTGGAAGCAAGTCGCCAGCCCTGTCTTCTAAGGTTCTGCAGCTTACTCATCTGTAAACAGTACTACCTGTCATAGGAGTAACCGTGAGCGTTAACTAGGTAACCTAGTAAGGAGTTTAGCACAGGCCAGCATATAGTAAAAACTTAGTCACTGTTACTAGTAGTATCATCAGGTGATCCTTTTAAGATTTAAATCAGTTCCTCCCCTACTTAAAACCAACTAACAGCTTCCCACTTAGAATAAAATCCAAGCGTTCTGCCCAGGCCCACAAGGCCCTCTGACTTGGCTGGCCTCTGCTTAACTCCCCAGTCTCACCTCCAACTACGGTGCCTCTTGCTCGCTATAATCCAGACTCCCAGGCCTTTTTGCTATCCCGTGAATAAGCCCAGCTTGTTCCCACCTCAGGGTTTTGCATTTGCTGTTCCTTATGCCTGCGTGCCCCTCCCCCGTCTATGCTTTTGCTCCTTCATTTGGTTAACACACTCAGCTGCTAACCAAAAGGTTGGAGGTTCAAGTCCACCCCGAGGCACCTTGGAAGAAAGGTCTAGCTAGCAATCTACTTCAGAAAAATCAGCATTGAAAACCCTATGCAGCACAGTTCTACTATGACGCACATGAGTCACAATGGACTCCAAGCAACTGGTTGCTTTGCTTGTTGTTTGTTTTGGTTCCATTCAAATCTCTGCTCCAGCGTCTCCT